CTGTTATTGCCAGATCAGCTGCATTTACACAGAGAATCAACAGATAATGTTTGGGACTAACATTCTGGAGATCTAATATGGGACTAACATTCTGGAGATCTTATATCTAATACCAGCGCCGGCCTTGTGCGAATGCAAGTCAAATAGGAAATGAGAAGGAATGTGTTGACGTGATACTCGCTGTGAAGGAAACCGAGAAGTTCTCACGAGAAATCACTGGGATGTTGGATGTGGGGAAAGGTTTGCAGCAGGGTTCGTTTTGATAAACTAAGGCTGATAATGACGTATCATAAACAGTAATGGATTTGAAGTATAAATAGAGTAAAAAGAAAAGAAACGGTTTTACCGAAGGAATCAAGTGGACCTGTAACAAGCTGCCTCGTAGTGTTTTCATATACTGTTCTCAAATCATCCTTCTTCTTGATGTAATAGTACCAGTCGTATACGGTCCACGGAGATCAACATGAACTTGTCCAGACTCTATTAGAATTTATATGAAATATCCCTACTTCACTTATGATAAAGTTTCAACGTTCGTTGATTGACCTTTCTTGAAATTCTAATTTGGTGGCTATTCAGAAGCGAGAAATTGGCTCTTGAGCACTACAGTGTACTGGTTGTTTGTAGCTTGCGTGCTCTCCTTTGAAAACTTGTCCATCTACCACGTTAGCCAATTTGCAGTAGCTCGTTCCGCTCGGCCAGGAAACGGGAATTCATTGTGGAACTTGAAAGCAGTTCACTTGTTCTTGACCTCTGCAAGTCCAACTCAAAACCTCGTGCACAATTTAGAACTCAGGTTCTAACACACTTTTATGAAAAACGTTAAGTTAGAGGAGAAAAGATATGCAGGTAAAATTAAAACGTATATTTTCAACCGCAGTCTACTGCGATCCCGCTAAAGGAGGCCATACAGGGTGTCCAATAAATTATAAATAGACATGTTGTATATCGATTACTTTTATCAACTGTTCATCGCAAACAGATCGTGCGTAAATGAACCATTATTCCCGATCTGTCACTCAGTAAATTGACGAAAATGGAGGAAGTAAGTATCCTATCAATCTAAATGCCAGACAGGAAGACCATCCAAGCTTTCGTCAACCTCTGTTCGAGATTTTTCCAAAAACTGTGATCATCGAAGAGCAACATCCAACAGGCAAGAAACGATCTAAAGATGATCAATAAGTACAAGTAACCGAAACGGTGGCAGAAATAAGCCGCATCAGTCAATCAGAGGATGACCCTTTTGAATATTTTAAGAATATTTTTCTTTAAAAATCTTATAAAATATTATATCTTCCGTGAAAATTTCAAGTTAGACACTTGAAAATTAACAGAAATTTTATAGCTTTAGACACTCCTTGAGGTAGATCTCCCCGTTTACAGTCCCGGTAGCCACGAACGGTGCACTCCGTTTGCCACATGAGCAGATCGCTTGCCAAATCATTTATTTCTTGGCAAACTTTGAAAGTTTCTGCTTCCTTACTTCCTCCGGAACATCAAACTTGTGCTGGGCGGTGAAAAACAGTAGCCCCGGAAGCTGCTGGAAGTTCGCCTTGACGTAAGTCCCATCATCCATGATGAGACAATGAGGTTTCGTCAGTATCTGGGTGTACAGTCTCCGGGCTCGTGACTTTCCCACCTTATTTTGCCGTTCGTCACGATTTGGAGCCTTCCGCACTTTGTACGTATGCAGTCCCTCCCGGTCCTTGGCTCTCTGAACGAAAAACTTGGACAGATTCAACTTTTTGGCCACATCCCTGACCGAAGCATTGGGATTCCGCTTAAACGCTTCAACGACACGCTTGTGATCCTGATCTCTAATAGAACATCCATTCTGACCTAATTTCTCATTCCGTTCGATGCTCAAAGTTTCGTGGTAACGTTTAATCACACGACTCACCGTTAACTGCACGATTCCGAGTTGTTTTCCAATAACCCGATGAGAGAGTTGATGATTTTCCAGGTGCTTGCGCAAAATCAATTCGCGACGTTGCTTTTCGGATGACACCATTTTTTCCAACTTTGAAAAGCAGAGAGCGATAAAAATACAGTGTAAACAACACATTCTAAACTAATTCAATAATAATTCAACAATATCGTGGTTTATGCCAACTTTAGCTCAACATAAAACGCGAGGAGATACACGACAGTTAATATTCTGAATCTTTTTCTGTGTACAAAACGATTCCAGGAGACCAATACTCCACCGCCCGTGATGGCTGGAATTTTGACGATGCAGATGTATCAATTTGTGACGATTTAGATGATAAACACACTGATACTTACGTTCGGGAACAAATCAAATACGTGCCCAAAGAGATAACTGTCTAACTGTCGAAACTTTGTAAGTCCGGCCTGTCAAAGCTGTGTAACTGTATATGTCCTAGCCAAAGGCATACGGAGACACTATAAGCGAAGACAATAAATCAAGAAGACTGGCAACTCTTCCATTTTCTCATACAAACGCTATGAGACACACACTTAAAAAAAATTCATGTAAATTTAGGTGATCTGAGACTGACATATACGAGCGTCATTTTTGACATAAAATTGAGTCGTAATAGACGCAAAACTCAGCTCAATCAAACGTACTTTTCGTCGAGTACCGAACTTTTCAGTCTCGGAGCACTTAATTTTACATGACATGTTTGTTTACGTCTCATCCTTTATGTCAAAGATGGATTCCGTCACGTGTAAAATTAGGTATTTCTAAGTGTGCAGGTACAATCGCGTCATCTGCTGCTCAAATGTAAATGCTTCGAACGAATTTTATAGCAAAGATTACATCCTCAAAAGAAGGGTTTGTGTATTTGCTCATTTTTCTATGCGTTACTTCCACCTTCACTCAAGCGCAGCGCTACTGTATCTGTCGCTTGGATTCTGGCAAAGTTGCCAGTCTTCTTGATTTGTTGTCTTCGTTATAAGGCAACGAGTTCATTCGAAGAATTTTTTAATAGACTGGACAAAAGTTGCTGAAACATGTCAAAGGAATCTGCGCTAATGCCCGTCTAACTAGAGAAAAATCTTGCTTATTTAAGGAGAAGCCCAGAAAAAACTACAAGGGATAATATATGTTATTTGCTAAGTGCAGCAGGAGCTTGTGTTTTGTGAAGGAATAGGTATTTGAGCGAGGTTCTTTCTGTTTATATATACATTTTGAAGATAATAATGACGATGAAATGTGATTCACCTGAGAGATGCAAAGATACTACAGGGAAAGCCTGTGATGCGATTCAATAAATAATACGGCATTGGACATCGAACGAAACTAAGAGATATATATACTAACGACACTACTAAATGGAAGGAGCTTCGGTCAGCTACTGTATGGACTAAAGCAACAATTAAGGGCATATAAGCTCAAGTTTCTCCTCTTTTTACGGTTTTGTCGCTTGTCAATCGGACATGAAAAAATAATCATTTTTCGAAAGCTAAAAAATCATGCCCCACCCATTTTGGGTATTTTATCACACACTTCATCTGCTGTGCCTTTCTACACTAAATTATGCGTTGTTTAGAAACAGCAGGTAGAATATCAGTGTCCACCCAGCTAAAGCTCCTCCCCTTTTTGGTTTTTCTCATTAAACTCAACAAGTTGGTAAATCTTAGTCTTTAACAGAAAGCCGTTTAACACTTTTTTCGGCAAATTTAAGATCCTGTTTCACGCCGTGGTTCTTATCTCTGCCTGTTCAGATATATTAGTACTTTTATTTATTTTCTCAACTGTGCTAAATCAAACGAGGAGAAATAAAAAGGGATTTCGGTTACGCGCTTAAATAATTGAAAAATCGATAAATATATAATCGAATAGCTGGAAAAATCCTTACGATTAATCGTTAATAGAATAATTGGACATCCCTAGAAAATAGTGCAATTTCATGTTTTTTGTGGTCCTTCGAAAATGTCGAATAGCAAAATTGCAACCAGCAAGTGTAACCCAAGAACCAATAGCAGAGCGATGCTAGTTTTCATTGCTATGACGACGACTGAATTAAGGGACTTGAAGCAGAGGAGTGAAAGTCAATTCTCTTCATCGATTTCCTCTTTTGATGACCATGGTTTCACTAACCTATTTCGCACTATTTCTACTATGTTCTTCTGTTATCCAGAACAACAAACGTATCAATGAATTTCGAGTTATTAACGAAACAGAAAGTCGATGAAGAGAATCGATCAAAATCACTTACAGCGCTGCTTCCAAGTTTGGTTACAAAATTACAACTCTAGCATTTTGTGTGGTCGTTTGAGGCGTGTGGTTCTGAATATGGCGATGAGTGTTCCAAATATTACACAATTGCATCTTCCCTATTCGCACACACCCGAAGATCAGAGGCGAATGCCACTTCGATTTGTTTCGTCTACTAACGACTCTCTGATGACAGTGTTGGGGAAGCAGCAATGCTACATCGACATGTTTCGTCTAGAAACGATTATCTGATGACTGTGTTGGGGAAGCAGCATGTGCATGTATGTAATTGGTGGATTTGTTAGTTATTTCAGCGCATTTGTACAAAACTTCTTGTTAAAAATCAACAGTCTAAACCTGGTTATTGATGCGTAGAAATATTTCTGATCGATTGATGATAAAATTATTGAAATTGGTCCAGGGGCAGCTGAGTTATTAACGTTCAAAATCTTTCAAAATTTCGTTTCATGTTCCATTTTTGGTTTTCACAAAGTGTACCCCTATATAGAAATCACAGACGTAGTCCTACGTCAAAAGATATGCTCGTGATTTTCATAAAGGATTAAGAAACTAAATTCATCTAATCGTTGGGAGATTGAAGTCAACCGAAACTTTGCCAATTAATTTCCATTGATTGTTTAGCCTCCGCTATAAAATCATTTCGCTTCGATCAATTTTTTCGCTACTCAATCTGCTAGATGAAACCAGTTCCTTTTATGATCCACTTCCGACTAATCCCCGATTCCGGTGGTGATACCTTACAAATAATTTAACAACTCTTCTTCTCTCTCTCCCATTTCCTTTCTTCCAGAGGGTCGCGTCGAAGTGTCCCGCGAAGGTAAATACCTCTCGACGCTATCCGGCGCAAAGGTGCTCGGTGAGCTGGCCATTCTCTACCATTGCCAACGGACGGCAACCATCACCGCGGCCACCGACTGTAAGCTGTGGGCCGTCGAGCGACAATGCTTCCAAACCATCATGATGCGCACCGGGCTGATCCGGCAGGCCGAGTACTCCGATTTCCTCAAGAGGTGAGTGTTTTTTTATTACTATCCATAATTTCTCAGAAGGTCATCCGAACGAAAGAAAGCCAGTTCGCGCAACTGCTCAGGTTCAGTGGCACGCATTCGGTTCCGATCCGAGTGAGCTTATGCAATCGGATGTTCGTAGCGATAGGCTAATGCTAATGAGTCCGTCCGGGTGTCATTATGAATGATATCGGATTGATGCCAATTTGGGAGAAAATTTCGATAAAAGCGTCCATTTCCATGTTAATTCGAATCTTGTTCGTCTGATTGATTGATTCGGAGGCCAACCTCTAACTCGACCCCATCAACTAGTGAAATTGTAAGCACTAATGAAAAAAGTGTGATTCCCATGCTTACCGGTCTGGAGCACACACAAAAAGAGAATAGCTTCTACCGAATAGCGGTTAAATGATTGTTATTTTCTGTTCCACACCTGGTTTCGCACTATTGTATAATTCTTTTGAATGCAGACTTGTTCTCGGAGCAAAATTTCTTTGCGCGGGATGTATGCAGAAAATAGTTCTTGGTCGCACAACGGAAACCAACAGTATGGGATCCGAGAACGTGGTTATGTTCGGTTTTAGTCCACACATGGGTGTGTGCAGAATTCTTCAACACAAGGAGCTCGTAGATTACCTTTTCGTGGTGCGTTACTGGCATTAAGATCTACCACCGAAGCCTAGTCCGTACTGCTTCAAACTAGGGGAACAGGATTGTTTTGTAATCAAAGGAACACATCTTAGTCCTTTTTACTTTTTATGCCTTGTTGATAGTGACAAGATTTGACTTCGTCCAACGTGGATGACCTTGAAACAAGGAAACAAAATAGATAGGGTTAACTACCCCATTTCCGGCCTATTAAGCACAACCCGCACTTACTCTTTCTTAATCTAGCGCAGTTTAGCACCAAACGGAATGTTTTTATTACTGATGGCTTCCAAATTTATTTACTTTTTCGTATGTACCGTAAGATTTGATAAAGAAAAACCAATCGATGAGATATTGTCAAAAGTCTAACATTGCTTCTTGACGCCAAACTCGGCCTACGGATTCTTAACTCGGCCTAACGCATTGAAACGCCATTGAAACGCCAATGAATTCACTTCGGCCTATCGGATGAAGATAAAAATTGATTCGCTCGGAGCGCTTCTTTTGTTTTTGGGAATAATGGATGCAAACCTTCATATCACGCGTTCTCATTGACTTCGTTCGGTAGCTTATTACCTAAAGTATCGTACCAAACGCATAATTGACTTGTTAACTCTGAAAACATGGATTTATTTGATGTTTTCTGCTCGATAGGCCCAAAATGGGCGATTAGGCCGAAGTAGTTCTCTACCATAGGTAGATATTTTTCAACTACGTGATGCTTAAGCTTTTATTCGCTGTTCTCTAGATTGAAGTGATTAAGACTAGGATTCTGATGCATGGTCATATCGGTGATATTGCTTGGTGGTGGTGTCCGAGGAATCCGACAAAGGGGCGTGCCTTTGGAGGGTATTCCAACACTTTAAAGGGTATAAAGAGCGGGACCTTGAAACATATGACAATTCAACTTTAATAATACGTGAAAGTATTTAATAGTCCATTCATTTGCGTCAAATTTTACAAGCATCCATGTTTCTACATAACAATGAAAAGTTCAATTTAAAATAAATTAATTTTCAATGAACAACGTTATAAATTTACATGAACGTGCAAATTTCAGTTTTATTTAACTGAATTACTGATCGTTAAACGTGCAATTTTATATTCAAAACCTGCTCCAGTTTGTAGTTTAAAATTATAAAATTTATTAAATTGTGAGTTATTTTTTTTAGCTCTCGATTTAAAGACAAATGCAGTTGAAACATCTATGATTATTATTATTATTTGCGGGATGACCAAAAATGAATTGGTAGGTCAGTTAACTCTTTTGATTATTATATCACTTACACTGAGGAAAATAAATGCATGATACTTATACGGACAGTTTTGTGAAGCTCGAAGCAAGTATTTAAAATTGGTTCCACAATAAATCGTATCAAATCATTACTAAATATGCATCCGTCGTGGAATGCCCGATTCTTAGAAGTTTCTAGCCTTTCAGTTGCCTTGCTACCACAAGAACCGTTAAACTAGTGCGTTACACAGCAAAAATCCATATTTAACCTTCGCTTAAAAACACTCCTCTTGTGACTTGCGTACGCTTTTGTGTTCAATATGTCGCTATCGAAAACGCTCAACAATTCATGAGAACTCCCACTCTTGAAATCGAGAACCATTTAAACGCTATTCATTAACTACAGCATGAGCTAGGCCAAAGCTATCTTGTGGGCAGTGTTGCCAGTATTCCAGATTTATCTGGATGTTCCTACTTTTCCAATCGTCTTGCAAGATTCACAGACAGATGTTTCCTAAATATCTTCCAGACTTTCGCAGATTTTTAAACATGCTACATTAAAACTATCACTGCAATTAATTTACCCTGTTATCAGGGGAAAAAGTCACAATTGCTACTTAAAATATCAAAAGCCATCATCGACATTTGGATACTATTGCAACATCGTACATGGAATTGTTACAAAACGTTTGCTACAAAAGTTAAACATCAGGTTTATTGTTGTACGCCTTGTGAGAGCTGTTGAAGTTCGAAATGGTCATGACATCTATCAAAAAAAATTTGCATGGATTCGCCATGAAAATTATATCATTAGCAAATTGATAATTTGCCGCTCTCATATTCTCTCAATATCACGCGGGATATTCGAGCAAAATATCATGCTTGAAATTGCTTTTACATGCTCTTTTGATTTTGCTAGACTACTCACGTCACAACGTGTAAAGTTGAAGCTGAGAGTTGAATCGACACACTTTGTTCGATTTCGTTGCACTTCGTTTTCTTAGCAAGAGAAAGTATAATAATGCTATCTCGTTTTTCACGAAGCTTCCAGCCTTTAAGCTGGGTTAAGACTAGGCAAGTCAAATGATCAACTCATTTGAATTCAATTGGCTTGAAAAGTTGAGCCTGGTTCAACTTTTTTCAATTCAAGTGAGTTGATCAAGTCAGTTGAATGGCATGGTTTACACGTTCAATTCGCATTCAAGTCAGTTGAATTCAACTCATGAACCGGGGACCAACGGCTTTACTTTAAAAAAATCCCGGCAGCACCGACTGGGATTGAACCCAGGCCTGCTGGGGTGAGAGGTAATCACGCTTACCACTATACCACCGGCGCCGCTAAAGATGGTGTAAAAGTTTTAGAATTATTTAGAACTAATAACAATTTTGAGATATAACAAGGTATTAGGACGCGGTAAATAGTTAAGGACTTAACCGAAAATTATTTATATACTCGATTGCTCGATTATTTGCTTCTTCTTATTTTCAAACAGGTTACAGTTAAAAAATCAAATCTTAAAAATATTTTCTTAAGTATTTCACATAACGATTAACTCCATTTTTGAATTCTGCATAATGTATATTCAAACTTTGTTGACACATTGTGTCAATATATTTCTTAATGTGGTTTTAGCAATGGTAACAACTTATTTGCATTCTCTAATTTATTTTATATTTCAATTATTATCGTAATCAAAAAGATTCTGGTACTATGAATAAATTACAGAGGATTATACTGAACGACTGAACGATTTTTATTGGAGGGTTGGTACATAAATTTGATTCCAATCGCATTATTTAAAATAAGTATTTTTACGTTAACACACTGAGAGTGACATATTCGAGCGTAAATTTTGACATAAATTTGAGTCATACCAGACGCGAAATAAAGCTCACTCAAACGTGCTTTTCATCGAACAACGAACTTTTCAGTCTCAGAGCACTTATTATTACATGACATGTTTGTTTACGTCTCATCTTTTATGTCAAGGATGGATTCCGTCAAGTGTAAAATTAGTTATATCTAAATGTGTAGCATTCAAGATTTTTACTGGACCAGATTTTCCTGAAACTGTCCTGGCAATGCTGCTTGTGGGGCTCTCTTTTTAAACGCATTGTAAACTCAATTCATAAGCTTAAAAATGATCTGGCTGAAAATGCCAAAACGACGAAGCCGACGAGCGTGTGAAAGTTTAGACATTCATTCCACATGTGTCGTGGATGAGTTTTGCTGAGTTGACTCGTCTTGCCAGAAGCTGTTGAGCGTCTTGTCGAGATTTTAGTTTGACTTGGTGGGTCGTCTTGATTAGCTAATTGTGTGCTTGTTTGGTGTGTCAAGATGCCCGAGGGGTGCTAAATACAGTTGCGAGGTTCAAGATGAATTTTCTATGCCAAATAAATATGCATTACATCAAATATGTTTACGATGTATTAAAAATGCAACCAACGAGCTCCAGTTAGCTCATTTCCCATCCCATCATCAGTAATGAATGTGTGCAAACGTCATTGTGTAATGTTTACAGTCAGTCTCGCTCATTCATAACTACAGCGCCATCCCACAAGTGCCCATTTTTCACACGAGACTAGCAGTCTTGCGCGCGGAAATAAATTATGAGCTGGAGGGTTCGATATGATTTATAAACAGATGGATTTATTGGTGTGAAGCTTGGGTATTACTTCTCAATTGGAACATTCCGCCTGCTTTCAGCATAGTGGTCTTAGCGCATTTCCACATTTGTAATTGCGAGCTTCAATTCTCAATTCTTAAAATATATGTGACAAGTACATTGGTGCGCTAAATCCAGCGAAGTCATGAAATTTTCAACCCGAAAAATGCCACGATTGGACCGAGAATCGAACCTACTTCAATCCAATAATGATTACATGTATCAATTAACCCAGTTTGCGCATCTTTGACGAACACGCACAACAACAATCAAATACACGTCAATTCTGAAAATTACCACTTTACCGCAACCCACCTTCCTCAACCCAAAAATCGGTTATTCCACTTCTAGCAACGCTTCTATGCCGATCATGTGGAATAGGTAGTCATAATTGCAAACAACCGGCATTATACACATGAACCTACCACCCTAGCAGTGCGAGAGCACACCCGGCA